AAACATTGGCGGCAATTGTTAAAATGTTGGGTGAACCACGCTGCAGTGAGAATTTTTCCTATTGGAAAAGTGATATTAAGAAGTATGATCCAGTGCTGAAGCTGCAGTCTTTGGACGACCTGCTGAAAATCCGTCCAGCAACACAAGACCCCGCTGAAAGGGAGGATTTACTAAGTTTCATAGATTTTCTAAAGCAAATGCTAGTTCCTACACCTCAGGACCGTATTACCTCAGCAGCTGCACTTAAACACAACTTTATCACCATGGACCATTTGTCTAACTTTGACAGGAGCAGCTCTTATGTCCTTGAAGCCCATGAGGCAATGAGAACTTACAAAATAATGACTTCAGAAAGGTTGGGAGCCACAAACAACTCTGAAGAAAGTTCGAAACCTGGATGCTGTGGGACCCCCAGTCCTCAAAAAAGCCCAGTGATTCAGTCAGGTTTATCACCTATTATCAGATCCTCATTTTCATCTGAGACCTCTGATCTGAAATATGAATCAACAACCAACAACAACATCGACAACAAAATAATGACTTCAGAAAGGTTGGGAGCCACAAACAACTCTAAAAAAAGAGAAACCTCTTCTCTCTGTCCAGGCAACGATGGCCCACCAAAAGGTAAAACGGTCATTTATTCATCTGATCCGGATGACAAAATGACCATCCAGACTCCTTTTGGAGCAATAACAACTGATTGTGGGCCATTTTGGTTGGAACTTTTTTCAACAAAGGATTTTGTTTTCAAATCTAAAACAAGCAATTACCTCTTCATAGAAGCTGTGGACAAAGGAAGAACTGCTATAACTACCAAGTGTAGAAACCAAGAAACTGGAGAGATTGTTGTAATAAAAATTCCAATAGACAAAGAGGATTCCGAGTCAAAGGCGGAAAAAGACATCTTAACTAAAATCAAAGAACTTGGACCGGACAACTACAACATAGTGAAGTTTTATGAATATTTTAACTACAAAACAAAGCATTGCTTCGTGTTTGAAAAACTGGATATCAATTTGCTAAGGTTTACAGAAACAATTGTAGGTAGTGGACTACATTTGTCTGACATTCGCCTTATTGCTCAACAGGTACTGGTTGCTCTCTCTGCTTTTCCTCAGAGTAGCTTTGCCTCGTCTGTTCCTGTTTGGCTGTGACTCCATCCTGGAGAGAAATATCAGCTGTGCTGCTGCCATCAACACCTTTGTTTCTAGATGTTGGAGCTTGGCCTGTTTTCCAGTGTAGTCCTGTTTCTCTGACTGTGACTAACTGGATGTGCTCTCTTCATCCTCTGACATGGGAGCTGGCTCAGAGCTCGTCTGCCTGGCTGTGTGTTTCCTGGACGGGGCCGCCTGTGGAGCTGGTTGACAGTTGCCTTTTGTATCTATGCTTCTTTTTCTATGTCTGCTTCTGTCTCCTTGAACCCCAGTGGGCCTCAGCAGATGGCCGCTCACTCTGAGCCTGGTTCTGCTGGAGGTTTCTTCCTGTTCAAAGGGAGTTTTTCCTCTCCACTGTCGCTACAAGCATGCTTAGTGTGAGGGATTGCTGAAGAGTCAATGAGTCGATGCAATCAGCTGGTTTTCCTTAGATAGAAAACTTTGAATCAATCTGACTGGATGATCTGGTTGAATTGGAAAGAGCCTTAAGATGACAGGTGGTGTGAATTGGTGCTATAGAAATAAACGGAATAGAACTGAATTTAATGAATCTGGATGAACTGACTGCACAGACCATGATTTTCAGGTGGAGTTTCTCACTTAAAAACATTAAAACTACTTTTTACCCGCTGATCACAGCTAATATAGCAAAGCTGCTCTCTGCATTGAACATCAGACGCACCTGGACTCACTTTACTGGACGTCTGACCTTAATGTGGACACGCAGGAGAACGCAGCTTGTGACGCAGTGTCCTGGTGCTTCAGGGAGGATCATGTCTGAATGCGGAATAAAAAGCTGATTACAACATACTTGTCTTGGTTTTGCACTTTTCAGTTCTGTTTGTTCCACGTCCACGCGGGAGGTGGAGCGATACCAGCTAGAAATAGTTGGGCTCACCTCTACGCACAGCCAGGGCTCTGGAATCGAGCTCCTTGAGAGAGGCTGGACTCTCTTCTACTCTGGAGTGACCCGCGGGGAGAGGCGGAGGGCGGGGGGTGGGGCTGCTTGTCTCCCCCCAGCTCAGCCGTCTCGTGTTGGAGTTCACCCCTGTAGACGAGAGGGTCGCATCCCTTCGCCTTCGGGTTGAGGGGAGGACTCTGACAGTTGTTTTGGCCTATGGGCCGAACGGCAGTACGAAGTACCAGGCCTTCTTAGCATCCCTGGGGAGGGTGTTAGAAAGCACCCCTCCCGGGGATTCCATCATTCTACTGGGAGACTTCAACGCCCACGTGGGAAACGACAGTGACACCTGGAGGGGCGTGATCGGGAGGAACGGGTCCCCAGCTCTGAACCCGAGTGGTGTCTCATTATTGGACTTTTGTGCAAGTCACGGATTGTCCATAATGAACACCATGTTCAGGCATAAGGATGTCCATCGGTGCACTTGGCACCAGGACACCCTAGGCCGAAGGTCGATGATCGACTTTGTAGTCGTATCTTCTGATCTTCGGCCGCATGTCCTGGACACTCGGGTGAAATTGGGGCTGGGATCGTTTATCACCCAGGCCGAAGTCACCGAGGTGGTCAAAAAACTCCACGGTGGCAAGGCTTCGGGGGTGGAGGAGATCTGTCCTGAGTATCTTAGAGCTCTGGATGTTGTCGGGCTGTCATGGTTGACACGTCTCTTCAACATCGTGTGGAGGTCGGGGACAGTTCCCCTGGATTGGCAGACTGGGGTGGTGGTACCCCTCCACAAGAAGGGGGACCGGAGGGTGTGTTCCAATTATCGGGGAATCACACTTCTCAGCCTCCCCGGAAAGGCCTATGCCAGGGTGCTGGAGAGGAAAGTCCGGCTGATTGTCGAACCTCGGCTGCAGGAGGAGCAGTGTGGTTTTCGTCCTGGCCGTGGAACAGTGGACCAGCTCTACACCCTCTGCAGGGTGCCCGAGGCCATGGTTCTCGACCGGAAAAAGGTGGCTTGTCCCCTTCAGGTTGGAGGAGAGTCCCTGCCTCAAGTGGAGGAGTTCAAGTATCTTGGGGTCCTGTTCACGAGTGAGGGAAGAATGGAGCGGGAGATCGATAGACGGATCGGTGCGGCTGCTGCAATAATGCGGACGCTGCATCGGTCTGTCGTGGTGAAGAGAGAGCTGAGTGAAAAGGCAAAGCTCTCAATTTACCGTTCGGTCTACGTTCCTACCCTCACCTATGGTCATGAAATTTGGATCATGACCGAAAGAACGAGATCCCGGATACAAGCGGCTGAAATGAGCTTTCTCCGCAGGGTGGCTGGGCTCTCTCTTAGAGATAGGGTGAGGAGCTCGGTCATTCGGGAGAGGCTCAGAGTAGAGCCGGTTCTCCTCCACATCGAGAGGAGTCAGTTGAGGTGGCTCGGACATCTTTTTCGGATGCCCCCTGGACGCCTCCCTCGGGAGGTGTTCCAGGCACGTCCCACCGGGAGGAGGCCCAGGGGACGACCCAGGACACGCTGGAGAGACTATGTCTCTCGGCTGGCCTGGGAGCGCCAAGGGCTTCCCCCAACAGAGCTGGAGGAGGTGTCTGCGGAGAGGGAAGTCTGGTAGTCTCTGCTTAGTCTGCTGCCCCCGCGACCCGGTTCCGGATAAAGCGGGAGACGACGAGTTCTGTTTGTTGGAATTAATGATGTGTTCATTCTGAGTCTGTCTCTCTTTAGCAACTTTTACCTGTTTTTAGTTCCCTTTAATTTGTTCCCTTTTCACAGTATTTTTTATATCTGATGATTTCAGATTTCTAATGAACGAGACTATAAAGGCAAATGTGAACCAGAGGCGTTTTTAGCCTATTTGTGGGGGGTGCTGAAGCAACTCTAATTTGGATCAAAGCACCTCTAAAATATAAGTTGTTTTTTAAATACTGTATGCAATTTTTACAAAAAAAAAATCAAAACAAAACAAACATGTGACATTTTTAAAACTACACAGTATTTGTTTATTTAACCCTTTCAATTATGTTCTCGTTCATCAGAAATATAAATAAATAAACAAAAGAAAAAAACAAGTAAACTAGCCTGTTGGAGCTCTTTAACTAAAATGCTTTGAGGAAAACGCTGCATTCAGGTGTTTCTGGAAAAGTTCAGTCAGATTTCTGCACCTATTGATGCGTAATAAAATCGTGATTGATGATTCTGACTTTAATCTCAGAATTCTGACTTTTTTTCTCAGAATTCTGACTTTAATCTCAGAATTCTGACTTTTTTATTGTCAGAATTCTGGCTTTAATCTCAGAATTCTGGCTTTAATCTCAGAATTCTGAGATTAAAGTCAGAATTCTGAGATTAAAGTCAGAATTCTGAGAAAAAAAGTCAGAATTCTGAGATTAAAGTCAGAATTCTGAGAAAAAAAGTCAGAATTCTGAGATTAAAGTCAGAATTCTGACTTTATTCTCAGAATTCTGACTTTGATCTCAGAATTCTGACAATAAAAAAGTCAGAATTCTGAGATTAAAGTCAGAATTCTGACTTTTTTCCCATACTATACTGAAATAAAATAAAAAAAATCTGTTAACTTTTTTTTGTTTTTTCAGTGACCCTAATCCTCTTCCATAAATGTGTTCTTGGATTGAGGAGGTAAAAGAGACATTTTGCCAATTTACATATAAAATAAGAATTGCATTGTCTTCTTTCAAGTGCATTTTATCTAATTATCTTAATTTAAGAGTAAAAAACCTTCCATCTCATTTACCTACACACATTAAAGGTAAATACACTTAATCTGAGACATGTTGACTTATTTCTGGCTGTTTTTTCCAGTGTGAATGATGAGGGCAGGTGATGTTAATGACAGACAGGGCAGCCCTTCCTGCCTCCAGCCGGATCCCCGCGGCCAATGGGCGCGCAGCGGGGCGGGGAGAGGCGGCACCTTGGATACTCCAGCGTAGTAGCGCGTCCAGCAGCAGAGCGTCGCCCGCGCAGTCTGCCGCACTTCAGCATCCTCTGGTTCATGGAGTATTCACTTTCCATCCAAGTGCAACAGCGGCTGGCGCTCTTCCCGACGCACTTCTACCAGGGCTACAGCGTGGAGTTACAGGTACCTGCATCCTGCCTGCCGCGTCTTTCCCTGACACCCACACCCACGCACCCACAGACACACACATGCATCCGCCTGAATAACACTTTGAAGACGCTGCGTTGCAGAGGAGGAAGGCGAGCCTTTGGTGCTGCGTGCTGATTTGGCTTCTCATCCCAGATTCTTGTTGCGCGCTGTGTTGGGGGGGTCAAAAGTAACGCGCAGCATCCCTGCGCCTCCTGAGCGGCTCCGGGGATCCCTCCTGAGGTTCCCCACATCCAGCTCATGTCTCTCCATGCACTTGTCAGGAATAAAGCATCAGCTGTCCGCCCTGCGCTCATCGCTCTGCAGGCTGCAGGATGCACCTCTCTCCTCTGAAGGTGACATTTAAGGCGGCGGTGGGTGGGGGGGGGGGGCACACCTTCTCTGTCACGATTTTATTTCGCAATGAAAGGCTTATTGGGACAAAACTGCTTTTTTTTCTTCTCCTTTTTGCAGTTTTCTGCTCCAGGTGCAGGAGGTCAGATTTAGTCATGATTTATTTAGTTTGCTTAATAACCAACCTAAGTGTTTGGAATGAAGGAGAGAAAATGATCTGATGATGTGAGGGATTAACTGATTCATTCCTCAGGTGGAAGTTTGGTTTTTAAAACTCATCAGACCATCATGTGCAACTATTCCAGGATTTTATGAACAGTCTCTGTTGACATTTATACGGAAGAGGATTAGGGCCACTGAAAGAAAAAAGTTAACTCATTTTTAATTTTTTTTTCAGTTTAGTATGGGAAAAAAGTCAGAATTCTGAGATTAAAGTCAGAATTCTTAGGAAAAAAAGTCAGAATTATGACTTTTTTCCCATACTAAACAAACAAAAAAAAAATTAAAAATCAGTTAACTTTTTTTTTTGTCTTTATTTCAAGTAAACTATCCTGATGGAGCTCCTTGACTAAAATGCTTTGAGGAAAATGCTGCATTCAGGTGTTTCTGAAATGTTCAGTCAGATTTCTGCACCTATTGATGGTGTGTTGGTGAAATGTTCACCAGCGAGGTGCTCTAATGTATCTGAGACTGCTTTGTTTGATTGTCTTTAAAACCAAAACTCAAAATCAATATTTAAATTTATTGAATCAGTAGAAAATCGTTATAAAAAAGTCAGAATTCTGACTTTTTTTCTCAGAATTCTGACTTTTTTCCCATGTTAAACTGAAATAAAATTTAAAAATCTGTTAACTTTTTTTTTTTTCTTCAGTGGCCCTAATCCTCTTCCGTACATTTAACACTCTGAGCTGCACAAGCTGAATTTATCCAATTCTTTAGGAACTTTGAACTAGAATTTGAAATAAACTGGTGAAGATTCTCAGTCAGATCATAGTTATTCCATAAAAGTAAAAGAAAAACAACAACAACAATCCACTGAACTTTGTCTTGAAGACGTTTCTCTTCCCATCCAGAAACCTTTTTTTTTAAATTTATTTACTTTTTTGGAATTTGAAATAAACTATGTCTCAGTTTTATTTCTTACTCAGTCTATAAACTAGAACTGTGCCGTAATACCAGGATTTCTCAAGAAGAGAAGAAAAGAGAAATGAGTCACGGTTTGGTTTGAAGATGGACGCAGATGCAGATGATAACCTTAATAGGTTATTTAAATAAAGAAAAAACAAATAACTAAAATCACAACAGGAGGAGAAAACAAGAAAGATGAATAATAAAACTAGAAGATACCAAACAATAACAATGAAATGAGCTATAAAAGCGTAGAAAATACCAGAAAGCAGAGCCAGACTTCTAAAAAAGGAGCTTTTCTAACCAAGGATGTGAGACGAAAAGCACAGACTGAGGTTCGTGTTAAACCGGGAAATCGTTGATTCCTTTACAGCCACTCTGATTAATTATTTCTCTCAGGATCAGAGGAAGAGTCACAGCGTGTCTGCGAGAGCAGGCGCTGCTCAACACATGCTGTCACCAGGAATTTGGGGCCCCATGAAAGACTTTGATATTGGGCCCCACCCGGTAAAAATGTATGCAAGCTTTTAAACTGCTATAAAGATGCATTGATGTGTTTCATTCATTATCACTATGTAAAATGACAAACGCGTGACACTTAAGCCCCGGTATGAGCAAACTGCCAGGTGACCGACCGTGACACTTGATGCAATGCAGGATGGGGGGGGTTTGGTCAATATATTCATGCTTTGTTTCACTGTTTTGAAATGAGGGAAAAACACAAAATAATTCATTTTACTGCTAGATTTTCTTTCTCTATTTGAAAAATATTGCAGGACAAATCTTCACTTCCTCTTTTGGGCCCCCCTCAGTTAAGGGCCCTTAGAATAGTCGTACAAAACATATTAGTAGTGTTGAAACTAGGGATGCACGATATTGGGATTTTGGCCGATATCCGATATTTTAAAACTCATGTAGCCGATAACCGATATCGATACCGATGTTAAAGCTGGACAAAAATAAGTAGTCATTGAAAATAGCAGTTTTGTTATCCATTTCTGACACTTTGAAAAATAATATACTCAAATATATTTTCATATGCTGATATCAAATAGATTTTTAAAAACGCGGTATCGATCTATTTTACTTTCAAAATCTGGTGAAATTTCATCGTTCTGTTACAAACTCTCGTGATATTTTGCAAATTCTTGTGAGATTTTGTTAGTAAAATAGATCGAAACCGCGTCAATATATCAACATATAAAAATATGGCAACATTTGGTGAATTTTGGGGGGATTTCGTAGCATAACGATGACATATAGCAATATTTCATTAGTAAAAGAGATTGATATGGTGTTTTTAAATGGCAATATATCAGCATATGAAGATATTGGGATATTTTAATGTATCAATATTTTTTCCCTCGTCTTTGGAAGTTTTTAAGTCTGTAAAAAAGAAGTTTTTGAGGAAGAAGAAGAGGTAGTATTTTTTTTTTTTTTTTAGACTTTAGAAACTCAGAAGCTGATCAAATATCGGGTTAAATATCGGTGGGGTGGCCGATGTCCGATATTCAGTTTTAAGGCCGATACCAATAGGAGGCCGATTATATCGTGCATCCCTAGTGCTTATGAAACGTTTTTGCAAGGGGATGCTCCACTCCTGTCTCATGATTCAGTCAGGAGACCATCCTGCCTTGTTCTGTCAGAACAATACTCTGTTTGTAACCATGCGTCATGTTCTGTTAATAAACGCTCTGCAGGGGAGGTCCAGTGGGAGACAGTATGTTTGAGTCTGGGGCTCAACTGTCTCTCCGTCCTGCAGGAATCGTATCCGTAAATTGTGTATTTCAGTTGTTCTTAAGCAAAAACCTAGATTTTATGAACCCGACACTCTCTCTACCCTTCAATGTGGCGACTAACTCACTTCAAGCGATTAATCACAACCTAAAGGGCCGGAGGGAGAAATTTAGCCAAAGGTTCTTAATAAAACATTGTTTACAGATTTTAACCAAGTAAAACTAAAACTTTTTCACTTGAGGAGTAAATATTTATATATATATTTTTTGCAATTTAGGTATAATAACTGCTCTAAGGGGGTCGCTCTGTCAGCTAGAGGTATGTTATGGAGTCTCTTTACTCCAGTTAACGATTAATCAATTACTGAATTAGTTGACAATTATTTAAATAATCGATTAATACGATTAATAATTTCAGCCCTACTGCAAATACATTGCAAATGCATTTAATGACCTATGGAGGATAACAATTATTATTAAATAAATAATGGAGGATTAAATAAATTATTAAATGTGTCAATAATTAATTAAATGTGGAATTAATTAAATAAATAAATGTGTCATTCATTAATTAAAACCACGTCACTAATATAAAGTGCCACAATTAAATAAATAAATACAGCGATAAAAAATTAATTAAATGTGTAATTCATTAAATAAATAAGGAATTAAATATATAAATGTGTCAATAATTTAATAAAATACGTCTTCATTTTATTAAAAAAATATCTATAATTATTTCAGTGTGCATTTAATTATTTCATGGTCCTGTGTCGCAGTGCATCGAAACCATTAAAAGAATCTGTCAAACTCACCCATCAAAGTTAGGGGGCGGGGTTAACGCGAATCGAGTCTCTGTAATCGATTTGCTTCGCCTTAATGTGCAGGGTGACCAATCAGGTGTTAGATAACCGCCCCCTAACTTTGATATTAGTGACGTGGTTTTAATTAATGAATGACACATTTATTTATTTAATTCCACATTTAATTAATTATTGACACATTTAATTATTTATTTAATGCTGTATTTATTTATTTAATTTTGGCACTTTTTATCCTCCATAATGACTCAGCCCTACAGACTAATTGTGGAAAATCCTGTGAATTCATGTCAAGGCAACATTTGTTGTTTTCTAACCTGTTTATATTTCTTTTTTACCATAACTAAGTAATAAAAGTTTAAAACATTGATAGCCCTGCTGTAAACAGATAACCGTTCGTTCTTTTCCAGAGAAACTGGAGCCGCAGTCAATCGGCTTCTTGTGGTTGAAAGATCAGACAGTTTTGTTGTCATGGGGAGCTTTTTAACTGGAAAGGCTCAAGCTGTTTGTCGCAGTGACATGAAGATGTTTCCAAGCATCCAGCTGAGACAGAAGATTGGTTAGATTCCTGACAGTGAGGAGGTCTCAGCTGCTGCCAGGAAAAAAAAGGGGAGTTGCTGTTGTCAAAAAGTACCTTCTTTAAGCTACTTTGGCGTATTTCTCTTTTCAGGGATGCTTTTGGTTAATTTGTGTTGATGCGGGTGCAACGGCAATCGATGAATCAGACAAAAAAAAGTTTTTTTATACTAACCTCTTAATTCCAAAATAAACATTTTAGACGGAACAAACAAGCACACAAGTACAGGTTGCTCATTAACTGTACTGGTGCAATATGAAAAATAAATGTTTGTGTTAAAACTACGCAAACTTACATGAGAAATGTAGCTGTACATCCACAAAATATAGGCTACTTTGTTTCATAAAGCGCAAAAAAAGACATTTTTGTTTTTAAAGCCCC